AATACTGTTTTATCAGTTGTCTCTTCGCTGTATACTGTTTTATCAGTTGTCTCTTCGCTGTATACTGTTTTGTCAGTTGTTTCCCTGCAGTATACTGTTTTATCAGTTGTCTCGTCGCTGAATACTGTTTTATCAGTTGTCTCCTCGCCGTATACTGTTTTATTAGGTGTCTCCTCGCAGTATACTGTTTTATCAGTTGTTTCCTTGCAGTATACTATTTTATCAGTTGTCTCATTGCAGTATACTGATTAATCAATTGTCTCCTCGCTGTATACTATTTTATCAGTTGTCTCCTCGTTGTATACTGTTTTATCAGTTGTCTCCTCGCTGTATACTCTTTTATCAGTTGCATCCCTACGGAATACTGTTTTGTCAGTTATCTCTTCGCTGTATGCTGTTTTGTCAGTTATCTATTCGCTGTATACTGTTTTATCAGTTGTCTATTCGCTGTATACTGTTTTATCAGTTGTCTATTCGCTGTATATTGTTTTATCAGTTGTCTATTCGCTGTATACTGTTTTATCAATGTTCTCTTTGCTGTATTCTGTTTTATCAATGTTCTCTTTGCTGTATTCTGTTTTATCAGTTGTCTCTTTGCTGTATTCTGTTTTATCAGTTGTCTCTTTGCTGTATTCTGTTTTATCAGTTCCATTCCTACGGAATACTGTTTTGTCAGATATCTCTTCGCTGTATGCTGTTTTGTCAGTTATCTATTCGCTTTATGCTGTTTTATCAGTTGTTTCTTCGCTGTATACTATTTTATCAGTTGTCTCTTTGCTGTATTCTGTTTTATCAGTTGTCTCCTGGCTGTATACTATTTTATCAGTTATCTCTTCGCTGTATACTGTTTTATCAGTTGTCTCCTCGCTGTATACTGTTTTATCAGTTGTCTCCTTCGCTGTATACTGTTTTATCAGTTGTCTCTTCGCTGTATACTGTTTTATCAGTTGTCTCTTCGCTGTATACTGTTTTATCAGTTGTCTCTTCGCTGTATACTGTTTTATCAGTTGTCTCCTCGCTGTATACTGTTTTATCAGTTGTCTCTTGGCTGTATGCTGTTTTATCAGTTGTCTCTTGGCTGTATGCTGTTTTATCAGTTTTCTCCTGGCTGTATGCTGTTTTATCAGTTGTCTTCTGGCTGTATACTGTTTTATCAGTTGTCTCCTGGCTGTATACTGTTTTATCAGTTGTCTCCTGGCTGTATACTGTTTTATCAGTTTTCTCCTGGCTGTATGCTGTTTTATCAGTTATCTTTTGGCTGTATACTGTTTTATCAGTTATCTTCTGGCTGTATTCTGTTTTATCAATTGTCTCTTCGCTGTATACTGTTTTATCAGTTGTCTCCTCGCTGTATACTGTTTTATCAGTTGTCTCCTCGCTGTATACTGTTTTATCAGTTGTCTCCTTGCAGTATACTGTTTTATCAGTTATCTTTTGGCTGTATACTGTTTTATCAGTTATCTTCTGGCTGTATTCTGTTTTATCAGTTGTCTCCTGGCTGTATACTATTTTATCAATTGTCTCTTCGCAGTATACTGTTTTATCAGTTATCTGCTCGCTGTATACTGTTTTATCAGTTGTTTCTTTGTAGTATACTGTTTTATCAGTTGTCTCCTCGCTGTATACTGTTTTATCTATTGTATTTTTGCAGTATACTATTTTACTGGTTCTATATATTTTGCCTGTCCTATCTATATCAAGTTATACTTTGTTTCATTCCCTCTAAAAGTCGTTGAAGATCTGTCTTGGTTGCGCTGTTACCTTAATAATGCAGAAGAAATTGATATCCTAACTGAAGATTTGTGACATTTTTGATGATTGGAACTTCGTTTGTGAGATTGTGGTCTTAACATGCAGATCACTTGCCTTCTGCGATCCATCTGGAGACTAACCACTACTCCTATATATTATATCTGTAGTTCACTGCTTTCAGTAATACAGAAGAAAACTTACTTTATGGTTTTCAGCTCCGTTTTGTGCTGCTTTTCGAAAACTTGAATGCTCACCAACCTTATGTATAATGTTTTTGCTCCTAGAGACGGTGAATATCCAATCCGCTCTCTCGCTATATGTGTGGTGTAGAAACCACTTGTGGCTATGATGACAGGTGACTGTTCACCATGATCTTTAAACAGGTGATGACAGACCTATTCTGTTTTTTTTCTCTGCACAATTTCAATATCAACATTTCTGTGTAAACTGATTTCCAGAGATCCCAATGGCTCCTGATTCTTAATCTACATCTGAAGTTTGATGGCGATGGATTATCTCAGAGGTCGCTGTCTCCTGAGGAGCCTTTCAGTCAATCCTCTGTTTGGTAGATGCTTACATGATCATTATGCCGTTCAAGTGTTCAAGTTTAAAAGACTTGATACTGCCAAATCCTAGTGGAGAAACTTGCCTGTAAGTGCTTTTGATGATCTGCGATGGCGCTGAAGCTTGTAAGATGTAATAGGGCTTTGAGAGGGCTGGTTCAAGTATACACCGTGACCAGTCTTATGCAGATGTTTTGTATCTTATCAATATTATTTTGCTGCGTAGCACTGATTCTGAGCATTGTTAGTGGCTACTCCAAGATGTAACTGACAAGACTTTGGTGTTAAGCCAAAATGAATAACACAATAACATAATACATTCCAGTGCCGTAAGGATGCAGCGAGTATTCTTAATAAAATCACCACATCAAGTACTAGGGACAAAATTGTGAGATTTCAAAAATAACCTAAAAAAAAGAAAGTTGTCTAATAACCAAAATGTGAAACTTTTAGTTACAGTATGAGTAAACACTCAACTTGTGCCTAATAGAGTTACAGTTATGAATAAACATTCAACTTGTACCTAATAGAGTTACGGTTATGAATAAACTCTCAACTTTTAGGCCATTGTAAGGAAAGATAGTGTACGGAGTACTTTATTAGGCGAATATGAGGAAAGCTAGTGTATGGAGTACTTTATTAGGCGAATATAAGAAAAGCTAGTGTATGGAGTACTTTATTAGTCGAATATAAGAAAAGCTAATGTATACAACGCTAAAGCTGAATATATTTTTTGTTGTATCAAACTAAGAAACGGTAATTTTCTTTGAATTTATGTTTCTTGCATTCCAGTAGTTTTTTCTATGTACTCAGGAGAATATTGCATTTTGTAGAATCTTCGAAAAATGTGAAACTCAATGGGAAGTTGTAGATATTTCAAAAAACAACAACATAGCTATATAGCATAATACAAATTTGAAGAAACTTCAGAATGGTTATCTTGTTATGACACAGTTTAACCATGTCTGTTGTTTTGTGTTCAACAACTAGTTTTAGTATTTTCAACCCGAACGGCACCTTATACGACACGCGGGCTAGATGACTAGATCAGAGACTCGAAGCAAAGTACAGGCATAGCTGTCCCTAAGTTAAAACTGCTGATCAGAGTGTGAACAGCTAGTAAGCAGCACCCACCGCCTACGTGGCTGCTTTTAACCGTAATAATGGTCCTAGAAATAAAATTACGGAGTGTGGTCAGCAACATATCAAGGACTAGAATTGAACTTTCTGTCCCACTGACCACTAGGTCGTGCCTAGACCACAACAAGTATCACAGTATAACACCAATAATTATTTCCAGTAGGAGACATAAGCCATGATACGTTTGTAAGACCAATGCAATTATTAATTGCTTCCCCATTTCTAAGTTTGATGATATTCGTTTTACTTGAGAAATTATCGAACGCTGATTTGCTATCAGTTCGCCCGGCATGGCCAGGTGGTTAAGGCACTCGACTCGCAATCTGAGGGTCGCTGGTTCGAATCCCCGTCACACCAAACATGCTCGCCCTTTCAG